GCTGATTTGTCTGCAGATGTAATATTTCGCATTTTTAGATAGCCAATGATTTCACGGAAGACAACATTCAGTCTGAATTAATCCCGATCAAAAGCCCATACGATATAGTACCGTAAATAGCTACCGACTTGGCTATCAGGCAGAGCACCTTTCAATCATAATTCTCAAACGGTTAAGTGAGTGTACGGTCAGTGCGTAAGGCCAAGTAATGCATATTAACGAAAACAATTTCTTTGCGTAAACTGATCCGTTAATGAGGACCATTCGCTTGGTTCACTGGCGCACAACTCATACCTCGGACCAACGTGTGGCAAAGTTCGAGATGCAGGACAATTCCAGTATTTGCTTTAAAAAAAGTTCCCTCATTAAAGCAGGTTAGAAGAGACGGTGCATAGCTGGCGCTGGACACTGTAAGGCTTGAATACCCCCAAGTGCCTGGCCAGTGAGACGGTGTGTGTTTGCAGCCACTACGACTGATGAATACCCCAGGTCCCATTCAAATGGGAGGCGCGACGTGGGGATGATCCTTTCGGAATTTTAATTAGTGCGCTCCGATTAAAAACATTTCCGTCGATTTCGAGGTTTCCTAGAGAAGTTGGCGCGCCGCTGTTTTGGAGGGCTTCGTCGGGGTTGGTATGGAGTCGGTATCATCCAGCAGCGCAAGATTGAGTTGAATAAGATGTTGTTTTGACCATTACTTAGGAAACTTCACGTGTGTGTCAGAAGGCTTTTAATCATTCAGTCTTTCCTATATCGCAGGTAAGCGAATATGCGAAGAAAGTTTGGTGGCTGGCTCTGTCCTAAGGGTAAAGGGCCCGTGACCGTATAATAACGAACAGAAAGGTCTGCGTTGGTGTTGGCGAGACCAAATATATATGTTCAAAGTAACCAGTAGAACTTTATAAACCTAGCCAGTAACTCATTCCAGCTTGGCAGTCTTCCCTGCTAACAGAAAATGAAGTAAGCGAGGTGGAACAAAGACTAGCACGCCAATAATTCCTCTGTGAGGCGCTAAAGCACGAAATCGATGTACAACAACATAAGTATCTTTCCAGGTATCAGCCTTCTGTACTTTTTTCTGGCCTAAAATTCCAAATATTAGACTTCCTTCTTCTGGTTTTTCAACGAATTACAAATAATACTCCATACATCATTGTGACAACTACCATGATGACAATTATAATTACGGCATACGCAGCGCCTGATATCGGATTGTCTATCTGCAAGAGGAACACCATCTCGGGCAATTCGTGGAGTTCAAACTCGGTCATAAAAAACTAAATTACAATGTATCGCAGGCTGCAAATCCATAATGATTTTTGATATAGTAAAAAGAAGAGTAGAAACATGTAGAGCCTACAAAAATCCTTCTAGGACGCGCATAAATGCTACATTTGCTGCTGGAATTTTCACTTGTTCGACAGATGATAGTAAGTGTGCGTGTCAGGTGCTTGCGCTTTAGCTAAACAGAAAGTGCGCCAAAATGATTTTTGCAAGATTTCAAAACTGCAATGTTAGTCAGACTGCATATTCACGGTGAGGTTGGCTAAATCGCTTCGGCTAGTAACTCGGTCTGGTTAAGGACAGAGGCAGCTTCGTCGGATAACACATATACAGAGTACTAGAGGGCTGGATAAAACTACGCCATCATTAGTGCAAGAGTGCAACAGACTTACGACACAACGAAGGCCGGGATTTCAGAGCCGTAGTACCTTAAAGTTTGCACTACTTTCGACTACGATGGCAGTAAAGTTTATCATACAAGGTGCATAAATAACAGCACTTCCTCCATGCAGAGCTCATATAAAGTGTACAGAAAAATAAATCGTTGTGTCCTACAATCTCTAAACGGTATGTTTAAATGTGAATACTCGCAAACCTGCAATGACTCAGATCGCAGTGTTCGCCACAACGACAGAGTACACTGGTGCTCTTTGTTTAGCGATAAAACTTAGTTTGCGACTTCTATATAGAAAGAAGTAGGCGAAAAAAATGAGAACAAATAGTATAAAGTAAGGTATTTGAGAAGAAGATGATTCGTATCTGCTAAAATGATGTATCCAAACGCACACACCGTAACCCCCTGATAAAAGTAACTAAACACACTTTACCTCCGATTGCAAACCTTAATATCATGCCAAATACTCAAGGCATATGATAGTTTGACTTGATTTCAACTTGGGAAGTTACAGCTGATAGCGATCTTTCGAGGAATAAAAACGCGAAGATCGGGAGGAAGATTGGGTTATGGCGAAAAGGAGGAAAATCAGTGGAAATGGGAAGCAAACGTCAAAATAAATACTAAAACAGGGAGTAATGTGGTGCAAGAAAATAGGCTGGGTGAGTAGGAGGCGAGAAGCACAAGGGAAAGAAAAAAGCTCAACGTGAGCAAATAGAATACCCCATATAAAGGATAAGCGCAGACGTTATAAAAGGAGGAGGCAATGGAGGAAATAATATTGCCCGAAAGGTGGGCAATACAAAGTTGAATATGGTTTGGATAACACGGCAGGCTGATCAGTTCAACTGCAGATTGAAGCCTATCTTTTATTTTCCTATTGACCGGATTACTTTTGAAAGATCCCTGTTTAAATAGTCCACGGATATTTACAGAATTAAATAATACCTCTCTGTGGTGCAGTTCACCATTCACAACGACCATTATTACAATCTATCCGGCTCAGTCAATTAATTATTAAATAATAAATAAACGGCAATGTATCAAACCTCAAAACCGTAAATATCGAGTAGGGAGATAGACCGCAAGCGAAGATTCGGATCCATTTCGTCGGCATTCTGGGGCGCCAGACGCAGGTTAAGCTCAGCCACCAAATGATCGAAGTATTCAGAGTATAGGGATTTGGCCACCGAGTCTCTGTTTACCAGAGCCTGTACCTTGTTGACCGGACTTCTTACTTTTTCTTTTTGTGTTTCCTACAAAAGCAGATAAATACATCACTTTTTATACATTTGATTATGCGTCTGAAGGTCATACGTACTATTTGCGAAAGCAAACGATGCTTCATAAATGGCCTACATCAGATTGAAATAAAGGTTAAACGCATGTCCCCATATTTGTACTAGTGTGTCAGTATTGGCTAAGGCGGGAATTCCTCACAGAAAATAATCAATGAAGTTATACTAGTTTATCAAAAGTTCACCTTTGCATTTACAAAAAAGCAGCTTAGATATAGGCAACATGTTTTGATACTTCCATTTTTTTAAAGTTTCTTTTGGAATTTTAAAAAACTCTTAATTAAATTGTCAACATTTCAGTCTTACTTTCACATTTGCATGTGATACTGGGAACCAATGTGTTAAGAGTAGGTGGGATACAGTTCGTAAGCTCGCTCTGCAAAAAGAGTGGTCACAGTTACTTCTACTTCGTAAATAAAGTAGCCGAACTACGAGCATTATATCAGATGATTCATCATCCCGTAAAAAAACGCTTTAAAAGCTTTTGGCCAATTGTCTGAAAAAGTGGCAGTACAAAGCGTAATTACGGAGTAGACATGTTAACAACGTACCGTCACTTTTGTCGTAAGAACCAGTTTTAGTACGACCGGATCAATAGCGAGTTCTGAAGCAATTATTTCGAGGAGTTCTGGATTTTTTATGAAGCTTGCTTCCTATTAATTAAAGTAAGTAAAGAGTGGTGAAATATGAGAAATAACACAGAGAATAGTTGCTGATTTTCTAGTAACATATAAATACCATTAAATATGTAAATTTGCCAAGATATTTTAGGCATTAGATCAAATCTAGGAGAAAATGCAGAAGGAAGCATAAAAGTAACTCACATCAGTTTCACCAAAGTCAATATTTCCTAGGTGTAAAATTCCAGATATTATTCGCAAACAGAGTTCCATATCATCGCCAGTGAAGCGAAGGTTCGACCAGCAATTTAAAAGAACGTGCAGGCCATCTGGATCCGACCGGGACTCGACCCTGCTTGCCTTGCCCTGAGAAGGTTGAAAATAATATCTGATGACGAATCTCGTTATGCTCTCTTTTCCGCAGAACAATTCGTAAGAACATTAATCAAAACATACTGGGGTCAACTAATTTTAAAATATGCCTATTCTTGGATGAGTAGAAAATGTTTGTAGGACAAATATTTTTTAAGAGCAAAAACAATCAAAAAATGTTCCTCGTCAATCCTAGTTCATGGTGGCCCTCAAGTTTTTGAAATGATAAGAAACAAGATAACTTATTTTATTATTTTGTTTTTTCAAGAAACACTTGATCCACAGATTATAAAAGATCTAAACTTCTTTGGTCTTGAACTCACATACTGCAAGTAGGCATAGTCAGTGATGCTCGTTAGCCTGTGGGCCGCTTTAGTCTCCCTGTCGAGGCTGCTCAAAAGCTGATAAAATACGTGGTAATTTCGTTCACCGACGGCCTGTAGTAAAAACATACTCAGGTTAGTTTTTAGAATAAAAATAAAAGAAGAAAAATCCATTGTCTAGTGTTCTACACTGGAAAATAAGTTGAGCATAACAAAATCAGTAAAATCAGACCTGTTGAACGACTCGCGACTTTTCAAGGAGGTAATTTGTTACCCTGGCGCCGACAATTGTTGGGCTGAAAATGAAAATTTTGCCATATAAATAAATTGTATCGAAACATTAAACGCCATTAGCAGTTATATTTCGCACTTACCCTAAAAAAAACACTTCAACATATTTTCCGAAGCGTGAAGAATTGTCATTACGAAGTGTTGTTGCGTTTCCAAAACTTTCGAGCAAAGGGGTACTTTCGAGGACACCTTGTGCAGCAGATCCCCATGTTATTTGGTCTCCCTCGCTTGACGATGCCAAGTAACGCAAAATACGTTTGAAGGCTTCAGTCTTGCCAGCGCCCGATTCGCCACTGTGAAAATGAGTAAACATTAAACAGTGTTAATGAAGAAGATATGTGTAGTTGTAGACAATAGAGCGCATACTTTATATGTAAACTTACCTGATAATAACCACTTGATCGGAACCGTCATGGAGCAAATTCTGATACATGCCTTCAGCAACACCATAAACGTGCCTATAAGACTCAAATGCTAAAGCAAAAGCCAACATACGGAGGCATAGAAGCCATTGGTTGAGTTCTATAGGTACTCATGACTTCAGGACCATCAATGAGTAAATCCACGTACGGGTTGACGCTGACTAAAATGCTTCCAATATAAGTCTTAATAAAATTAATTAGAAAATAGTAATTTTTACATAAATATTTTTCTTTTGGTATCGCATTTTTAAGTTCTCCAAAATCGTGACCTCGGAGAGATTCCTAAAAAGTGTGTTACGTCAAACGCGGGGGTACCTTAGGTTCACCATGTTATCGACGCCGTCCACCTCAACCGGTCCCACAGTTCGTACTCGTTTCAGATTTTTAATATTCAGGATTTTTATCTAAAACTCGTTATATTTAATTTGAGCAAACTTCGCCATCAATTGTACATCGGACTTGAACCGCATCCTTTTTAATTTGACAAACTTCGCCCAAGATGTCCTTCATGTAGCCCATATCGAACAATACACGGACACCCTTTTTTTCTTTGTTTTACACAAAATATACTTACCTCGCGGATGCCCTGGATATTTGTAGCCATATTGGAAACAACGTGTTCCTAATTCTTCCGTTGCTTTGAATTAGCGCTCCGAGATAGATTCTCAGGCCCAAAGAGAATTCAAATGAGCGTACAAGGTCACATCAAAAAGGTCATTTGCAGATGGAGGGAGTTTAGAAGCCAATAATCTGTTTATGTTACATTCGTCCTTAATTTCAATATCCAAACTACAGTTGGCAATCCTGCTGCTTATTATTGCCTTTTTTAGGTTTTATATCAGCAAAGTTATCTATTTTAATACATGCACTTCACTACAGTTTTTATCTTGCCGGGAATATTACCAAAAAAGCACCATTGAAATATTTTTTGGGAAATTTGATCCCCCATGACTTCTTATGTACGTTATAATGTGGTTCTTACAAACTCGAGCAAAAAACATTCAGATTAGGTGTACTTACACGATTACATAATCCAGATGTGAAGCCAACGTTACTCGGCTCAGGCAGCATTAGCAATGATCTGGATTTGCGTCCTAGCGT